CTACCCCAAAATAAAACGAAATCACGCTTATTTGATATCAAACGAAAGAACAATTTTTCAATAAGGTATACCGAATCTTCTTTACCTTATAGGTAACCCCCCTATATTAGAAAAATAACCACATTCATCCTATCACCCCCCCCCCCTCTCTCCCAAATCTGAAAGTTCAAAAAATTTCCACATCCAATTTTCTACAGAATAGCTGTGGTATGCAGGCATACCATACGTTTTCTTTCTCCTTATTCTACTGTAGAAATATAGAATCTATGCTGTTTTCACATAATGCTTGGTCCTGATAACTATTGACTTCATTCTAATTACATTTGTTGTTCTCTAGAGATAACGACTGCTCCTTATGTGTGGGATATTGGGAAAAGATCAACGACAGCAGTGTCCCTTGCTGGTAATGCAGATGATTCCTAGAGGTTACTTTATCCCCTGTGTTAAATAAGAATAAACAATCACGTGGATATCTTAGTCGCCATGAGTAATTCTGATGTTTCCTATTAAGTAACAATCGTTAGATTTCAGGATCTCAAGTGAGTCAATGATGAGAAAGACATCTTGAGAAGGAAATTTGTTGATTGATTCAAAAATCTAGTGGCGGATGATCGTTCAGCACTCAGAAGGCAAGTACGCAAACTGTTTGTTCACCAAATTAAATAATTGTTTTTATTTTGTGTCACACATCGTTTCCATTCTGTGTATCACTTTGGCCACAAAACTACTTATCACATAAAGCTGCGATAACCTTCAGTTGATACTCAAAACAAAATAAGTTTGACAAGATTGTATGCAGGAGCATGAACTGTGTTTTCTACAGCTTTTGTTTTGATATTTGCTTGGATATAGATAAATTTTCTGCTGAGGTGTAGTTAGTTTTTAGATAGATCTTCAGTAGATCGTTTTTTGTTTTAGTGTTCAAAGATTAATTTTGAGCTTTAACTTAGCCTGTTTTAATTTTGGCTTTAAATCAATTCTTAGTTCGAAGTTTAGCTGTAAACCTAAATTGTTGAGTTTTGTTTTAGTATAGTTTGTGTCAACACATAGCCACAAAGTTGGATAACTACGCTCCATCTACCATGGGGAATCGAACCCCAGATTTTAGCATTGTAAATCTTAAACTTATTGATGACCTTTTGGGGGATTTTTATAGTAGTAGATCACTGCTGCATTAAATCAGTTGTTTCCTTTGTATTAGGCTGTTAGCAGGAGATAGTGTTGCTGCTTCAAGGTACAGTTTTACACTGCCTAATTTAACATAAATTTGTTTGTTTGAGAGTTAACTTTGCATATTAACGTTTTGTTTAACCTTTTTATTTTTTCATTCCTTTACATGCCTTGGTGATAAAGTTTCTCTCTCTAGTTCCTCACAGCATAAGAAACATTTGCCTGTTTGTTTTCCTTAACCTTAGTTTGTGTTTGCTTGATCAGAGATTGTGATTTGTGTGTACTTCTCTTTCTTTACACCAAACTCAGTCAAGTGTCAGGAAGAAACAAACACCTACTCTATGATAAATTATTCATCCATCTCCAGTTTTTGCAGACCCTATCAATTTAATCTAACGGCTTCAAAATAGGGAGTGTAATTTTATGGCAAAAGGACTCAAACTGTGGACCTTCAGATTCACAGACTGGCAGATTAACAATTACACCACACCAACCCCTACACCTTTCAGACTGATTTAAATAATAACTTGGGTGGTTTATATATAAACAAGTATTCTATTAAATCTTGGGTTGATCCATTTCATCCACATAAGGCTTGAGCTGAGATAAACAAACTATTGGATTTTCATTAAAAAACATTAAAACTTTTTTTTTTACTATTGTGAAATACTGTTGCGTCATCGAGGTCACGTGACTGGTGTGGCGCCCTCTATTTTCTAGA